TTATCTGTCACGTGAGTCCAGAGTAGAACACCACTTACGGCTGACCTTGCCAAGTACTCTACCCAGTTCCTGGCGAGTTATAAGTTTTCCAGTCCATCTGGTGATTACAGGCATAGTTTTCAGCCCTGTGTGAACACCAACCACTGTCTCCTCTAGTCCTTTAAGATGGTTCTTGCCCTGGCCTTGGGAAGTTTCCTCAAATGCATGGATTGAATATTTTGCTGGATACTCAAGGAGACCCTCTGAAAATCTCTAGTGTTCTCTCTCTCTACAACTCTTTTCTCTAGTAGTCGATTCTATGGACCTTAGCCATCTTGGTCTCCCCTTGCTCTCAGCTTCATCTCTTCAATGCAGGGAGTTCACTGAGCACCACCTCAGTTCCCTCTGGAACTGTGCCACAGCCTGGAAACTCTCAAGGCATTAAGCTGGGACAATCACAGCGCACATCTCATTTGTTTCTCATCTCTCAAGGATAACTGTACTTACTGGCTTGAAAATTGTTGTTTTGTATATTTCATGAGCTGGTTGTTGTTGTTCTTCTTCTTCTTTTAGATGGAGAGTAAACCAGTTCCAGTTATTCTGTCTTACCAGAACAAGTCCTCACACATTCTTGGGCTCACTGCCCTCTCTTGAGCATCTTCAGTCTCGCCTTTTCCCCTGATGACCACTCTAAACCTCTTGACTACTAGCACACTCGTGAGACCTTTTCTTATAGAAATAAATTCTCTTAGCACTATTTTCTCTTTTTATGTCCACCTTCTTGAAAGAACTGTCTGTATTCCAAAGAGTTAAGGAGTGAAAATCATGGTCTACCCCTCAATTCCTTTGCTTGCTCTTCATCCCCTCGTTTCTCAGGTTGGTTTCCACTTCAATACTCCAATGAAGCTGTTTCTACCATTGGTTATTAATTAGCACATTGTCACCACATCCAATGACCTTTCTCAGACTTTAGACTTATGTTTACCTTATTTGACTGGTTCTTTTGATTTCTTGCCCATATTTGACTTAAAGGATATTATATAGAACTGTCTGACTTATATTCCTTATCAAAAGCAGATGCTGTAATGTAAGCTCCAAACAGCAGGGTTGTTTGTATATTTTGTTAACTGATATATCCTCAGTCCTTAAATCAGTGTCAGTCACATAACAGGCATTCAGTGAAATGTGGAATGAATTAACAAAATATAATTGGTGCTTAGCACCTTTCTTCCGCTTTCTACCCATTACCCCTGGACAATCTCATCCAAATCCACGACTGAGTTGTCTCTCAAATCTCTCTATCTCCAAAATCTCTCTAGTCTGCTTGTCTTTTAGCATTTGGATCATTGCTGGATGTCCTGTCAAACCTCAAAATTAGCATGCCCCAAACTAAACTCATTATTTTTATCTTAAAACTCTCTGTCATGTTCTCCCTACTTTTTTTTTTTTAACAATTCACCAAAACACAAAGCTATAAACTTGACTCATATTTGATTGTTTTATCTTCCTTTCCTCTCGAATACCCAGCATAACTGTCACTTTTACAGTAGCAGTAACATCCCCACAAGTATTGTCCCTGCTGGATCACCTCTACATCTAAAGGGTCTCCCCCAACAGCTTCTCTAGTCTCTGGCCTTAGATCCCAACATACCCTAAATCTCTGCATGCTGTGCCTTAACTCAGTGAGACCACTAATCTTTCTCTGAATACACCTATGCTTTCTATCCCCAACTCTCCTCACCCCATTCCTCTCTGCTTAGATCTTACCCATCATATGAGACCCTACTCAAATGTAACCTTAACTATGAGCTTTTTTTGACCCTTCAGATTAGAAATGATCACTCTCCTCTTTTAACTTTCATATTTACACCATTAAGTATACCATATATCACATTCTATCTTAGCACAGAGCCTGGCGTGCATTAAATAAGCAATATATGTGAACTGTTTTTATCAATACACAACTTACCTACCTAACCTGGGTGTAAACTTCTTGATGGCAGCTTCCTCCAAGGAGGCCTCCAAAAAGGCATTATGCCAGGTTCAGAACAATGACCACTCAAAGAAGCTTGATATCCAAAAAATTAGCCAATCTAATAACTAATTAATCAGAAAATCAACTAGCACACAATGATTCTGGTAAAACATATTATTAAAAAATGTAATAAAAACAAATACAAAACATAACTTACAAGTAATAAAATTATATACAGACAATCTTTTACACTGTAATTCGAAACTGCTCCTCCAGCCATAGTGCTGAAAGATAACTCTGGTAAGTGAAGAAAAGCATACTTTGCGTTACTCTTACACATATTTTAGAAGCTATTTTCCTTGAAAAGAATTAAGCTAATAAAGTTTATATAACTTCATTGCACATTAGTCAAAAGATATTCACAGTTTTACAAACAACCAATAAAGTACATACTTCCATCAGAAATCCTAAACCTTGGATATCACTAAACTTCACGTGAACACCTGAACTGGCATCCTATCTCTAGCTGTATAACAATAGCCATGTCATCATACCTTTGATCTTCAGGTAATTTAGAAACAGAATATGGAAAAAGATTCCTACCTGTCATATAAGCGCTGTTATAAGGCTGACAGAGGACTATATAGATTCAATTTACTTTCATTTGCTTATTAATTTAACAGACATCTGTATCCATGCTCAAACCTTGTGCCAGACTCTGGGTATACAATACCACATACAATGCTCTATCCGCCCTTAGGAGATTCTAACCCAAGATGGGGAGATGGGCATGTACACAAAGCAGTGCTACAGGCACTAACTGGGAGAAATACAGACAACACCTAGTGGGGAGAGGAAGGAGTACTCAGTTCTGTCCAAGGAGAAAAGAAGGTAGTCAGAAACAGCTTCCTGCAAACAGGCTATACATGAGTTCTGCTAATCCTCTCTGGGATCTCTCTACTCATTACAATCCCCTTATTCTTTCCCTAATCCTAAAACCAAGCGATGTCTCATTCCTTTAACAGCTCCACAGTTTCTCATCTCAATTCTAAAATCGGAAAAGTTCTCAAAACCTGCACTTTTTTTCTAGCTTACTTGCTGGCAAAGGCTGACCTGAACTGAAGTAAGGTTCTTGATCAACAATATCCTTTCTACTTTTTGTAGGAAATCCTAATTAATAATTCCATCATCCAATCATCACCTAAGCCAGGAATTGAAACAGCCATGGCTTTCTCACTTTCACTCTCTGAACTCAACTGCACTAGGCTTTGTCAATTCTAGCCCTCAAATATGTATCCTACCTATTCCTTCCTCTTCCTCCCCCTGTAACTGCCTCAGCCAAGGCCTTCATCATCTCAGTCGCACCATCTCAGTAATCTTCTGACTCCGCCTCTAACTGTACTACTCACAATTTAGCCTCCACATCATGGCCAGTTTGATTCTTCTCAAATGGACATCTGATCATGTAGTTTCCTTGCTTAAAACAGTCTGATGTCTCTGCACTATCTACACAAAAAGCCCAAACTCCTGAGCACAGTATGAAAGGTCTGCTAAGAGTCAGCCACCATTGAATACAATCTGTCTCCTGGCACTGCAGCCACACAGAAATGCAGTTTCTAGGGGTTGCCAATCTGTTTCACACTCCTTGTCTTCACACTGCCCCTCTGCTCCTAAGTCCTCTTTCTTTTCCACCCCCTCACCTTGTTTCTTGTACCAGACCTACTTATCAACTTCAAATCTAACGTAGCAAACCACATCATGTATCCTTCCCTTCCCCAGGTCCAGGCAACACTGTCATGCCCCTTCCTTCCATGCCCCGTCGATTTCTGGATATGAACTTAATGTTTATGCAGCCAATACACTGAGACTCCTGGAATGCTGAAATCATTGCTTATCTCATGTCTAACACTGAACCTAGCACATAGTAGATGCTCAAAATAAGCTGGCTGATGAACAATCTTTTCAACTTTCCAGACAACGTCTCACCCTTCTCCTTCCTTATCAGCTCTCTCTGCACAGCAGCTCTGTTCTCCATCTCTTACAACTGTTCTTCCATTATTTCCTCTAACTTATACTCTTCTTTCCTTCTTCATTGTCAGAAGAGAAAGAGGACACACTTGGAAAGTGAAAAAAAAAAAAAAAAAAAAAAAA